GTTGTGTTAGTTGAGGCAAAGGTGGGCAATTTGCAAAATTTTGCAAGTCTGCGGCCTGTGTACCAGTCCACCAGTGTCAGTCCGTCATTATTTCAAAGTGAACCAAACTGTGATCATCAGTTGATCAGTCCGTCATGTTATTTTTACTTCCATTTTCACTTCCGTCAGTAAATTTCACCGGTCCGTCAGTCTGTCTTTCATCAGTTTGTCAGTCCGCGCCCCAAAAAACAGTCCTACAGATGAAAAATCCAATTTGATTAAAATGGTAACTGGAGTGCAGTACATATCAGTGAATGTCCATAATGTACATTGCCTCGCCAAGGACCTTTACATACACACACGCACTTGCACACATATATACATACATTTCACATACGCTTTGCCAATCACCACTACTTTGCCAATCTATTGAACTGTTCAGTGCAGCAGGAGCACGGTGATTGATGCCTGCAGCTATTTCAACTCCTGAAACACCAAAAGTTTGATTTTAAAGTTTAAAATGGCTTACCCTAACCAGAATCCCGCTCTGCATCGTAGGTAAAATCCAATCCAATTCGCTTGCCATCCCAATCCTGTCTATAAATGCTCATTGTTGTCATCTTCTTCTTGGTCTTCTTCTTCTTCTTGTTCTTCTTCTTTTTTTCTTCTTCTTCTTCTTGGTTCATAGGTGCACACCACCACCCCCTGTACAGGAAGCACAAATCATTTCCATATATTGTCAAAGGAAGCAACCCTGATTGTATTCTGCCCCGCAAACAAATACATGAGACAGATGGGGCGTGTTCTATCAGCCATCAGTGAAACAGACTTCCATCAGTGACGGATTGATCGGTCCGATTAATGAAGATTACACTGACGAATGAAAACCCATTTTTGCGAGTGCTTGGCCACACTTTTTTTGTTGTTGTTGTTAAGTTTCTTGTCATTCGTTAGCAAAACGGGCGTCCGTCAATGACGGACTAACGGACTGACGGAATGCCCACCGGTGGGTTTAAGTGACACAAAAAATTAAAGACAGACCTTACCTCAGGTTTTTTCATGGTCAGAACAATTCGCTTGATGTCATTTCTGCTGCGTCATGTTGCTCATTTGCATTTCTCTTCCTCTAGATGGCTATAAAAGTTTACAAACAGGGTTTACATGCATGTTGAGGGACACAACTTCAGAGCTCAACTATTAAAATTGAAAATACTGTATATCTGAGATCAAATGTTTTAACAATATACAAAGAAAACAAAAGGAATACGTGATTTAAAACATTTCTTTTTCAGTTTTTTATCTGTAAGTTGGTCATTCGGAGGGAGGCACAAAAGAAAAAAGACTTTTTCAGGGGTGCTCGAAAGGTATTTAAAAATTTGAATGGTAACCAAATACTTTTACTACAGCTACAAGTTACACTTTGAATCAGGACAGCTATATTTTACCAAAAAAATTGATTCTGTATTTGCTGTGTGGGTTTTTGAATTGTCATGGAGGGGTTGGAAAATGTCCTCCAGTTCTCAAATGACTCAATTGTTTGAACGTAAAATACACTGGGAAAAAAAGGAGTGACATTTACCTGAAAAAAGCAAGTACAAATGAGAGGTTTTGAGTTCATTTTACTTGCATAGTATTAGTTTATTTAAATAAAAAAAGCTTCTCAAGGGTCAAGGACGGAACTCACAACCTTCAGGTTGGCAGATGGCTTTAGCTACCACCTGAGCCATGCCATTCCTACTGTGAGTTAGCGTATTAATGGTGTTGGCCAGAATACTTGGGTTTTATTACAAAACTTTTTATTTGGTATTCCTTCTCTCATTTAACACCTGTGACATGCTACGCACACTGCAATCGAAATGAAAATAAAATGATTTTCTCATCGATATGGAGCTTGGCTCGTTCTTCAGATGAAATTTTACCACCCAGGGTGTGGGCAGTATAAATCCAGATTAAACATGAAAAACAATCGCATATTACCTTCATTTTATTCACTAAGTTAAAGTATAAAAGCATTCAAGTACAAGCGAAAGAATTTGTCTTTTTCTAATGCCTCACTGATAACTCACTGAAATTCATTATTGCTTGAGTCATCCTGTCAGTCTTTGAAGAAGCAAGTCAAGATGGTGAAAAGCAAAGCCCCTCAGGCTAAAGGCTCTTGACCTGCGGAATGACTGCAGGGAGGTGATGGCAGCTTGGGTGTGATAGAGGCCAGTAGCCCAGGCCTAAAGGCACATCCTGGACACATGCTATTGGCAACAGTAACCTGGAAACAGCAACCAAGACACATCTAAGATCTCACACACACACACAACAGACACGTTTCTATAAGCAGTAGACGATGAATAAGCTCTTAAATTCTTTAAGCAGTGGAGATGGCGGTGGCTGGGGGTGTTTTGCACCTTACCAGCCTGGTGTTGGCTGACTGATGACAGAGAAGACTGCTCAATTTGCATGTCCTGCATACCAAAACTGAAATTAATTTAGAGTGGCAGTTGAGAACCAGATAAAATAACACTCATTTTGATCACTATTACTTGTAATACGTATATTAGCCTATTGACTTATGTTGTTAAATTGAACATATCAGTCCCTGAGAAATGTAAACTAGTGCTGAAATATCAAGAAAAGTCATCCATGCAAAACAATTTGTTTATTTGGTGTGCATGGTGTAACCTTATTGTATTGTGTCAATAATATATTCATTTGCAAATATCAGCCATAAACAAAACATGATTTGACATTTAGATGTTATTTAAAAAAGAAAAAAAAAAAGAATTTCATGCAGGCCTTGTACTTCATCTAATGTAACAGAGGCTTCTGTATTTTGTCATACTAAATGCAGTGCAAAAAACACTTGCGTTGTGATTCTCGAGAAGGGGCGGACACGCCATTGATCTGATTATGTGCCGTATGTCTGTGTTCTCCCTTCACGCCGTCATGCTTCATCTTTTCATCCAATCACATCCCTTTTTTAATGTTTGTCATCCTATAGATTAAATATGCAATCAAGCCTTCTGAGCCTGAGACAATCCTTGTATGTGGGGGAGACAGAGAGACTTTGTACATTGATGTGTAATGGTGTGTAAATATATTTATGGCTCAGGGTCACAGTGGCATTAACCTGACCCAGACTGTGCCTCTCAGGGGATACTCCGGGCTGCTGATTGTTCTGTGTTGCACTCACCTTTTGTGGGCCCATATAAACAGTGTGTATCAAGGTATGTGTCTTTTGAGAGGGCGCTTTTTTTAAAGGAGTTAGCGGGGAAAAAACTTAGAGGATATCATTACTTCAGAGAGCATTATCTCTAAGTATTATCATGTTGCAGGAGATTAGCACACATTGTACACCGAGAGTGAGCTTGAGCTTGTTATTAGGCCTTTGGCTCAGCTCGCTCAGTCAGCCATATGCCAAAGGCGTACGTATTATTCAAGTTTTAAACCTCTAATTGGTAGCGTTTAAAAGGCATTTAAGAGTGCCCTTTCTTTGCCACTTTTCTCATTCCCCATGTAATGTATTGTGTCAAAGTCTATTACCTCACTTGGATGTTTTTGTCCCTTAAAGAGCGTGAGTAAAAGAGAGTGAGGGACAGAGGGAGAGAGAGAGAGAGAGAGAGAAAGAGAGATGTGGGGGGCGGGGGGTGCTAGGGGAAAATATAAGAAAAAAAACACCATCAGCTGAGGTTTGCCAGGTCGATAAAGCTTTTAGATTTGGAGATGTTTTCAAGGGAGCCCATTTCCTGCGGCTAAGAGTTGTTAATGGAGCTTAAGGAATTATCTTATGACTCTCCCTGTTTCAGTTTATTTGGGCCTTAGAAATCCCCCCCCCCACCCCCTCCTCAATATGCTTCTGTCAAAGCTGCTTAATGAAAAGTAACGCGTCGCTGATTACAGTTTTATATGGTCGCTATGTAAAAGGGCCCTGTTAATTTACCATCACGCTCCCTCTGTGTGTTCGTATTTGACACGGCTGAATGATTTAGCTCTACACTCCCTCTCCTTTTCTCTATCCACCTCTTTCTTATTCAGTCAATTAAAAAGGGCCACATCGCAGGTCTAATAAAATGTACCTTCATGCTAAATTAATCAAACACTGTGGCAGACTTGTCTTATCAGGCAACCATTGCTTCCTATAATAATTAATTAAGTACCAATTAACCCTGCGTATCTGACACATCGGAGGTTATTTTCTTGTCATAAATCAACTTTGTTCTTAAAATGCTGTGTTCCACCTTTTATAAAAATGAATAAGTTCATTAATGTGGCTCTAATATAATAAATCATTCGTTTCCTTGCAGGGGGAAAAAAGGGGCACAATCATGGATGCTTTTTTTTTCCCATTAAAATTCCTCTCCGTAGGCACCCCTCCCTCCTCTCCTTGCTCTTCTAGGACAGAGTCCCATGAGATCTCCACTTTCGCCATTACTGTCAAGTACCCTTGACTCTTTTTCCTCTATTTGCCCTTTTATCTACAACAACTAATTCGAGTTCCTTTGCCCTTTTCACTTTTAGACAACGTGAGTGCCTCCCTTTCACTTTCTTTCCACACATCCAGACCTTTGTTTCCTGGATGTTGTCTGATGGAAAATGAGGAGCCGATGTCAAAAGGGAAAATTTCAAATTATCTCATTGGAGCTTCTTTTCTGAACACATTAATGGACGCATGGCGAATAACTTAGCGGTTTGACAGCTGCATCATGGACAAGGTTGAGAATGGGGAATATCAGAGACAAGGAGATGAGAGGTGAAATCAATGAGGTGCCATGAAATATGTCCACCTACATCCCAATTACAGCCTGTTTAGATGGAATTAATGAGGCGGGGCTTCGATAGTGGGCTGTCTTGCTTCTCAAATGAAACGTTTTAAGCAGACCCTTATGCCTATTTTGGGTTTGTTGTTAAAATGATATGGATAACGTCAATTAATTATCTGTATTTAAAAAAAAATCAATAATAAATAAAGTCTCTCTTCTTGAGCATCCATGGACACCGATTCTGAATGAAAAGCACAATTTCTCCTCAGAACCGTCTGTTTTGTTTTTTATTTTCAGTGAATAATGTTGAAACTCATCCAACTTTTGAAAAGCTGTGCATCCGTGAGACCTTTGTCATTTTTATTTAATAGTGATCCTCCAACTTATTTTAATTATATATGCATGCGTACAGGGACGAAAGTAAAATAAATAATAAATACCGTAAACGTTAAGGTATTTGCCCAAGATGTAAACATATACAATTCGACAACTTGTGCGCGTGCTTTGGAAAAAAGAATCTCAATCAATTGGAATAGTTCACTTGTGTTAAAGAATGTACCAGCAAAAAAAGGGTGACGTATAGCTTCTATCCCAGTTTTTTTTTTTGTCCCTTTTTTTTTTTTTTTTTAAATAAATCATTTGTTTTGGTGTTTTGTGTTTTTACGAACAGAAGAGTTTGTTAATAGTTTTGAAACTCATGGCACTGTCTTTGGACGAGTCCTGGTCATGCTGCAGAACTCCCGGACTTTTCTCCGCTTCCAAGACGGATCCTTTAGTGGTGTTGCTGCTCCAGGATACAGTGGTGTGTGTCAGGGCCTGGCTCAAAGTGCTGTGCCTGAACAAGGGATCGTGGAAGACCCCATCCACCCAGTTTCTCAGTGTGGTGACGGGCGAGTCCTGCCTGTGGTCCAGGCCCGAGGCGGGTGAGGTAGCGACAGATGGTGGGCTGAGGGAGGAGGAGTGGGGTACTTGACACCTCACCATACATGAAGGGTAATCAGTCTGGACCAAGGAGGTCGCCGTCTGGGCCAAAGACCAGATCCGGGGTTTGCCGTCTAATATGTGGTGCTGCGGCTGTTGACTGTAACATGACTTTGGCTGCACTCTGCTCTCCGCCTGGAACTCCTCTTGGTTTGTTTTTAGGCAACTCTTACTCAAATCCTGTTCCCCTCCGATTGCAATCGGGCCAGACATTTTCATAGACACGCCTTTGATGAGGTGCTCAGTGGGACAGTCGCCTGTCGTTGTCATGTGAGGGTTCATGTGATATCTGTGCTTTAACTCACACTCCGAACTCTCTGACTCCAGCGTGTCAAAATCTTCCAGGTCGCTCAGCTGGAGATCTTTATTGGATTGACCTCGACTCTCTGGGAAAAAAAAAAAAAAGAGAGAACGCAGACAGTCAGTGCATGAAGGATGGCAACAACGTATCTGAGAACAGCATCAGCCACGATCCAGTCAATTCAAAACGATAGAAGTCTAGAGACAGTGAATCCAGACATCATTGCTGATAAAAGGCACTTTTCCAAACAAATGAAAAGAAGTTTGTTCTGTTCAGCATGTAAAATCATCATTAATTGCAGTGGCAATCACAGAAATTGGGCCTGTTCAGTATTAAGAAATAAAATTGTATGCATTCGCGCTTTTGGCTTAATATGGTACCATCATGTATTTTGGTAACATTTGCTTCTTATATATTCATTGTTTCATTTAGGTATTTAAAAATCTATAATTGACTTCATTGATGACTATTCTTATGTTTTTATTGAAGTGTTTTTTTGCTCTTCCAATCATATTGTTTTACAATGATTACTTCACAAAAATAAAACTTCTGTTCAAAATTACTATCACATTAAAAAATGAGCCGACATGACACACTTATTCTTCTTTTCTTATTCTTTTAACAGTCAAAATAATTCAATCCCAAAAGAAACCTATCGAGACGAACCTCACTGATATTTTTAAACCTGAATAAATACCTTTACATCATCATAGGCACGAGTCATCAAACCCCTGATTTTGAAAAACTACTGAGCCACTTCGGCTGTAGTGACACTGACCATTTTCTTGACTTTCATTTTTTATCTGATCCTCCTGAGAACAGTCGTCATCCTCGTCATATCGTTTTTCCTCTGAGCCCTTGTTTCTGGGTGGCCATGTCATTTTGTTCTCCTTCTTCAGCCTCCTCCTGGCGTTGGCAAACCAGGTGGACACTTGTGTCAGGGTCATCTTGGTGATGATGGCCAGCATGATCTTTTCACCTTTGGTCGGATAAGGGTTCTTTCTGTGTTCCTGCAGCCAAGCCTTCAGGGTGCTCGTTGTCTCACGAGTGGCGTTCTTGCGCCGAGGACCTCCATCCATGGAACCGTATCTGCTCGTGAGAAGAACACACCCACAATGGCAATGAGATCAAATGTGATCTATTTGACTCTGCTAACTTTTACCCTTGGTGGACTCAACTGAACTAACAATACAACTGTGTACACATTCTACTTCCTCGAATTGCCTGAACTCTATTCTAAAAATGGCCCATAAGTAAAAAGAACAGAGAACCCGCTCGGACTTTGCTTTGTATAGCTTATTGCAGAAAAGATGAGAGCGAGATGAAATTAGTTTTCTCAAATAACATACATCCAATCAGGGCCCGTAAGAGCAGTAACAACATCAAACATGCGCGTCATTCACAACATTTTGAAATTAAAAAATCGATTCACACCCAAAAAAATCAATTTATTGTTGAGATACTTTCAAAATGTAGTTTGTCTGGCTGCCTACCTATTCCCACAAATATATTCCTCCATTTAAAATGCACAGTGTTGATCGTCTGTCAGCAGAGAGCTGTAAACGCCCTCTCGAGGGAGCCTTTTCGGAGGCCTTATTGCTTTGCATAGCTTAGTGAGGGTCAAGCACCGCTAAGGGAATCAAAACGAGAGAGCTGCACCTTTCCTCATTGCATTTGGTTCCCTAGCAAATAAAACAGACTGTAAAATTGCTTTATGGGGTGTAATGATGAGCCCTCCAGTAAAAGACAGGCAGATAAAGTGGAATTGCTGTAGGCCTCCTTGTTCATCTGTGTGCCAGATCTGCCTTACCTTACACACCGCAGCCCTTTTATAGAAACGTACATGGTTTGCTTTGGATTTTGTGTGATTTAAGCAAAAGACGTGCCCTTTTGGCCACGTGAAGCAATTATATGATGTTTTTCATATAAGTAATGCACAATTAAATACAAATCAAGTAAAATGTGCTGATATAGAAAAGACAATTAGCGTTGACGTCCAGGTGTTACATTTTATCACCCCACAAACTTCAATCCTTTTCAATATGACGCTTTATACTCTTCTAGAATCTAAAACCTGTAGGGAGTAACGTTCGTTGTCCACCCACTAAATTTTCACGTGTTTAAAGTCATTTCCAAACTTTTTGTCCCAGTTTTCCAACACAATGAAACTCTGCGACGCATCTCCAGAGTAACTAATTCACAGCTCTTGCGTGCTTCCGTAATAAGCAACCAAAAAACTCAAAATAAAGGTACCAACTTATTGCCAGTTTAGTCTGGTCATATCGACACAGATTACCTGTCATACTGATACTGTCCCAAAGTTGGATCATAGGGATAGTAGGCTGTCGCTTGGGTTAGTCCTGCATGTGCAGAGGCCGTGGCATCTTTTGTATCAAAGGTACCCTGGAACAAAATAATGCTTAGCTTGAAAGGAGGAACATGTAGTTAGTTATACAATTGAGAACAATTTTTAATACTCCCCCCAATAATCATGAAACAACAATGGTTCACTGCAGCTGTTGAAACCGATAATTGTCAAACCATTTTTTTTTTTGTCTTTACAATTGGGTGCAAAGTGGTTTCTAAAAATAGAGCTAAAAGGAGAGTAGGTTTCTGATTGTACAGCAACAATATAAGTGCAATTAAAATATACCAATAATAACTTACGAACTGTGCTGTCTTTATAAGCTCAATTCAAACAAAATCACATGCTTTACCACAAGTTCAGAAAAAAACATTAAAACTTTTTAAATGAGCATAAATATCGATACAATGTGTATTCTGCAATACAACACATTGTAGTAATATTTTGTCTGTGCAACTTTATTCAAACGCAGCACCTTTGTAAATTCCCACATATTTTCTTTTTTCCCCACTCCTTGACGTTCTCAGAAAGCCTGACTTGCCTCTGCATGTCTTAGTTGATTCAAGGCAGGTGAAAAGTAAAAGCACTTTTACAACAAAAAAAAAGAGCAATGTCTTTATCCATTCGCCAAATGAGTTTCCTGAATGCCAATTTGGGAAGTGGTCAAATGCAACATGAGCACAGCATGCAGACAGTGGCAGCTTTGTTAAACAGAGAGGTGCGACTGCGGGGTCTATTTATCACTGCCAAAAAATAGAAAGCGCTCACCAGCGAGTAGAAAGCGGAGGCGTCCGTTCCATATGTAACGTAGTTGCCGTATCCTTGAGTGCCCGTGTAGGGACTCCCGTACATGCCCAGCGCGGCGGCCGAACTGAGCTCATGTCTGGCGGTCGCCAGGAGCCGGCTCTCATACACGGGGCAGTAGACGGGCGTCTGCCCCGACGCAGCCACTCCGGAGTCGGCGATGGATCTGCCGGTAGACTCGCAGCAAGTGGTCAGAGAGTTGCTTGTCATGAGGAACTGCACAAACAGAAAGAAAACGTCATTTGAAAAATCAAATCAAATATTGTGCAACAAAGTTTCGGCTCATGCATAAGAAGCAGAGGTCTATTTAAAATAACATATCATTTTGGATTGAATACAGTGTTAATTAATTGTATGAACTGCCGAATAGACAAACTAAAAAGAAAACCCCCAAAAAATTATTTAAAAGATGTCGATACACTGCGCGTTAACATAAAAGCCGTATTTTCCCTGCAAATTGAATGTAACGTGAGGAGGTATGCACATGCGTTAAAAATACGATAACATCGTCTGCCAATGGCATACAGCCAAAATCTAAAAAAAATTGCAGTTTAGAACATGCCTTGTACAGAAGTTGTCACGCGCGTAATGCCGTTAAAGTTAAGCCTATATGTCCGTTCAAATTTAGTGAAGACCACACTGGATGTTTCCATTTCTGCTCCCCTCGGTTTTCTACCTTTGCATGTGCCAAATGAGTGCAGAGAAACTAGCCGTTCTCATCCGCGACACGTGTCTCATATTTTTGACCAAAGTGAGCAAAACACTTCACACAGATCGACGGGATCACCAATTGCTGCCGTTCCAGCCAAATGATGAAAACGATGAAAACAAGTTGAATTAACTTACTTGTGGAGCAGGCGAATATGGATATCCAAATTGTGGATATGACATGGTAGAGAGGTCCCCCAATATCCAGAAATAAAGCGAGACTGAAGGTCTCCACTCTCGCGCAGGCTGCTGCTGCTTGACTGTCCCAATTGATTGGGAAGCACAGGCTTCTTGGATGCTTATAGGGCGAAGCACAGTAGCATGTTTAATTTGTGTAAAATGCCCCCACACTCGAACACCTTTCAAAGAAAATAAATAAATAAAATACAGAAAACCAGAACGCTGCGGCGTTTTTTTAATTAAAAATATGTCAGATAAATGTATAAAAATACAGTAGCAAAAGCTATCGTTTTCCAGAATGACAACTTTGTTGTCCCATATGTATTTTTGCGTTGTAAAAAAAAAGTTGTATAAAAGACGTCAGCAGCAGATGCAGGTTGTTTTAAGAGGCAGTGGCTCTGACGTCACAAGTTTGTCACTAAAAATGATCCGTCTGTAACTTTATTATTCATTTTCGTTGTGCAGGGGCAACAGCAATGAAACATATTGTTTTAATGTATGAAAAGAGTATCATAAGTGGATTTTAAACAATTAATTGCCCAGTCATTTCCCAGAGTGCATGTATTTGGTGCATTCGGCCTCATTAATACATTTGTTATTATTCCTCAACACTTGAAAATAATTAATTCTGTCTGTCTCCCTCCCACTCTGCTATCTATCTATCTATCTATCTATCTATCTATCTATCGATCTATCTATCTATCTATCTATCTATCTATCTAGTCTTAGCCTATCACAACCTTGTCATCGTCACATTGGTTAGCACCCCAAAAGTCAAGCTCTATTCCTCCAGTTCACGCACTGTGCTTGCTTGGAGAGTCCCAGGTTGAGACATGTGAAAAGCCCCCGGGGTCACTCCTCAAATTAATGATGATGTACCCCCCCCCCCCCCAACTCCCCCAACTCCACCTCCCTCCTCCACCTCCTCTCCTTCGCCAGTGCTCTCCAGCTGGATCTCTGCCTACCGGTGACAGCTCGATTGAGGGAGATTGATGACTATCTAGGGGACCGAGGCCATCATAATAATATGATACTGCCACCTTGCAATAATTGCTCGCTTTCATTTACAGAAGAAAGCGGTAATAAAGCTCTACTGAGACGAAGTATGGCATTTTTTTTTTTTTTTTAACCGAGCTAATTTCAGTGTTGTGTTTTATTTGTTGGTATTCTTGTTAAGATTTGGCGTGTGGGAGCATGGCCTTTATGAAATGTGTGCACTCTCATTTATTCGGACAAATTGAATTATGTGGGGTGAGTACCTCAAAGCAAATGGTCGCATTAAGACTGTGAACGGGAGGGGTCAGGAGGGTCAAATGGGATCAGGCAGTGCTTTTTAATTTACATTAGGCCACCTTGCCCTGAACAACCATGAACCGTTCAACCACACACACACACACACACACACACACAATCTTTCTTTCTTTGTGAGCAATCATTGTCAAGACGTTGATTTTTCAGGATTGCGCGAGAACTCGGGTGACGTCAGAATCGCCCAATGTGATCAGAGCAGCACAGGAAGCAACCCATCAAGGACCTTTGCACTTGTATAGCTACGGAATTAGTCTGAAGACAGGAAAAGGTGTTGAACACACTGACAATACGCCATAGAAACAAACCGCACACCCGCCTTGCTGTATAGGGCCTACCTTTTGATTATCCACAGCCTTACCCAGTGTTATCGGGTGCCGGTAATGAAATATTTAGGCACACGAGTATATGCTTTTAGACAGAAAATGAAGGCGACAGCAGGAGTTCAAGCTTGTTTAGCGTTTAAAGATTAAAAGAGTTGCTTCTCCTTTTTTTTTTTTTCTTTAACAGATGTGGAGGAAGAGGCATGCTCCATGTTTGGACAGAGTGCAGGCATAATGTGAGAGTCCATTAAAAAGTGACTAACTTGATTGCATTCCCTCCCTTTTTGATATTAACCCTTTGTAAGCCATACATGAGAATACTTTGAAACTATATTAAATGAAAATTCAATGATCTTGCCATCTCTATTTTTAAAAGTCATTGTCATCATACATGTTGAATAATGGGATTTATTGGGACATGGAAGTTGAATCTCTAATTTCAAAAGAGTTAAAAACCTTAAAAGTCAGTATTAGTTAATCGTTTAACGATAAATAATTTCTTCTAGGGTCAAACTGTCCATCCATCCATTTTCCTCCGGTTTCTGGGGTCAGGTCACGCAGCAGCTTTATCAGGAAGGGCTAGACTTCTCTACTCCCAGCCACTTCCAGGTGGGCTCAAGACATTCCCAGGCCACCCTAGAGACATACAAGAGGGCTCTATTTCTTGTCCAGTACGAGTGATGCAACATGTATCCTAAATCTGCACAGACTGACTTTTGGTATTTTTCCAGACGCATACAGCTTGGCACCGTTAAAAATGGACAATTTGCGCCGTCATGAGTGTGAACACAGCCAACATGTTTCGCCAACAGTCGAAGCTGCTCCTCTCATTCCCTTTAAAATCAGTGAGTGAGTCCTTAACATGGTGGAAAAAGAAACTGATCATCTCGAGTCCATACAGGAGGTCAAACCGGGCAAAGTACAGTGCTCTGCTTTTTGAGGAAACTGCAAGCACACCTCTACGTTTGGCTGATGCAAAGTTGGATGTGGTGATGACAGATCTGCTAATTGGAGGCCGCCTTCCACACCCATCGTTTGTGTTAACGTGTGACCACTTCCGATGCTTCCATCATTGCTGTCCCACGGCAAGGGTGGTGATTTTAAAATATACATTCAAGATGAGCATAATACTGCATTCAGTGTTGATTTCGAGAGTCATTCCGAGGACCTGATGCAGGGCCTTGTCATATTTATGTATGAATGAGATGACATGCAGCGCACATGTCTGCGGACTGTCATGCGGTCACGACAAACTGTTGCCACCGTAAAACCTTTATGAACAGTGCAGCTCACATATTAAGTGGCATCCGAGCCTTCTTTACAGCACGACAAGTGTGAGCATGTTATTCACTGTAATAATAATACGGGACGCAATAAAACACTGCTGAAACAATCTTTTAACTTTATTGATGAATGAGGAGGACATAATAAAAGTCACGTTACAAGATAAGTATTACACATTAACAATAACTGTCACAGTAATGCTGTACTCCGCTCAGCGTCTGCCACTTGACCCACTGCCTCCCGCCTTCTATAAAATACCGTAATTAGTCAACTCCTAAACTTGAGTTACTGTGTTTACTAATGGTTCATTTACTCTCGTTTTGCAACGATGCAACCTCTAAGTTATCGACATTTTATCTATTTAGTTTGGCCTACATATTCCTGATGCATTTCTTCCATTTGCCACAAACCCTGGAGTACTGTAACCCGAATAATAAACTAGCTTGCACTTTTAAGTAAACTCGCTAATTTGCATCTGCTTTACAACTCAACTCCTATGAAAGAAAGTTCCCCAGCTACGTTGCAATCATGAAGGTGTCACTTTCCTGATAATCTGGCGTTGATTAATGAGCCACCATGAGTAGGTAAGCGCATGATTGCGTCAGTGTGCGTGCACACTGGTGGGGGTGGGGGGTGGAATTTTTTTTCCGGGCTGGCGGGGAGGATAAAGTGAAACACTCTCCACTCCCCAAATCCCATTTATGCCGTTTTAGGCATAACATCATGTCACTACTCTGACTTTGCACCTGATCTTCCATTCAAACAATGAAGCTGCAACTTTTAGGTCATACAGGTTAACAATATAACACAAGTGTAAACCTTCAGACTATTTTAACACACTGTATGTAGCATTCCCCAGGCAATAGGGAGCCATGGTGCAAACATTTCACAATACGACACTGCAAATTGTGAACACCAACACAAAAACGAATGAGATAAATTATGGCAACATCTACTCATCCTTTTTCTACTGGTTGTCCTTTTTAGGGTCATGGTATGTAGGAGGTATGCTTATACCAGATGAGTGAGAAGGTACACCCTGGATTGGCAGTCAGTCAGGTGCAGAGCACAACCGTTTGACAATAAAGTCACTTATTAACCCAACTTGCACATTTTTAGAATGTGTGTGTGTGTGTGTGTGTGTGTGTGTGTGTGTGTGTGTGTGTGTGTGGGAGGGGGCATGGGGAGGCGTTACTTGGAGAAAAACCCTGCAAGTAAGGCGGAAACTTGCAAACATTTTGGGCCCTGTTTTTGTGTCAGTACAAGTTTAGCGCAAAGCGATCCACAAATAAGTGCGGGACATGCAAATATATGTGAGATTTACACGCTTGGTAATATTGAGTGACCATTTTCATGACTTATCTTTTGTCAATATTCAATCCTTCAAGTAAATTGTTCAATTTGTTATTTTTATTTTGGGGGATCAGCGTGCAACGGCCATTTATTTTCGAGACAAATGCCACATACCGTTTCAAGATATTGACGGACACAGGTCTCAGATATTCGCATGTGTGGAAAGGCCATAACTCCAGCGTCAGAGAGGAGGCAGCGTTGCTGTCTCCGCTGAACGGGAATGAGCCATCTCCCTTTTCTTGTTTAATAAATGGAAATTGAAAAACGGAAAACCAGCCTTTTTCTGATCTGCTATTGTATGTTGATTTAACACAAGTTGAGAAACAAAATACAATCGTAATTTGTTTCTCTAAAACTTGGTTTGCCTTGAAGCCGGATGACGTTTTTCTTCTGTTACTACGACTGCTTTTATGCCCCTGGAACAGCAGTGGGCAACCCCCCCCCGCCCAAATGGGAATATCGCACATATATTTGAGGATATAAGACATGAAAATCACGGACACATTTGTGGATTTCCAAAACATCCGAAAATCACAAAGATATTTTCTGTGAATAATTTTGAGACAAATCTCTCCCTATATGTATGGGCCATTGTGTGCCAATGTTGGATGGAATGTACCTGAGTCCGGGCCAATTGTAGCGGCATCCCTTATTTGCATTAATTCAGGAAAGTCGGAGCGCATGCTGCACTTGAAATTGCAAGAACAGAAATAGACTCACTGGGGTTCATGCGTGACAATGGCATGTGCAAAATGCATTCATAAAGGTAAACTGTACGAAAAATCCCCTTACGGATGATGTCGTCGGCTACGCATGTGACATGGGATAGTGGAGATTTATTTTTTCCACTTTCAAGAATGTAAGTGAATAACCATAATTTGCTTGACATCAAGAGAGCAAAACATATCATGTGCTTCCTGTTTGGCCACACATGTTCTGATGGGACGTTGACCTGAGTGTAAGGTGGCCTGAGGGGAAATGAGCCCAAAACTCCCTTGCCAAAGCAGCTGGCCATTGCCTTGGGTTGAGAAGGCTGCCTGGCCACTGAGGATTGCCT